ATCTTGTCCACGGGTGGGGCTTTGTTCATCGCCCCGCCAAACTTGCCGTTGCTACGGATACGGTCGCCGCTGCGGGTCAGGATGGTGGGACAGTGCGTGTACTTGATGATCTGTGAGGGAGGTAAGTATTTCTTTAGTTTTAGTAAGAGTTTTACGGCACTTGCAACACAATTAGGTCATAAAAGTGCCGAAGATTACAAGTGTTACAAGAGAGTAACAAACACAAAAAAGAAGGAGGGGAGACAGAGACGTTAGATTTTTATAGGAAAGAAAGAGCACACCACACCAGAGCATCCGCCAACCACCCACAAGTATGTCTTGTTTCATGCTTTAGGAAGCATTTTATGGCATTTGCAACAAAAATAGGTAATACAAGTGCTGAAGATGACAGAGCAACAAACACAAAAAAGGACAGATAAGGATAATGGATGTTTGATCGGAAAGAAGGAGCAAACCACACCAGTGCACCCCCCACCACTACCACGAAGCATCTCAATTTTTATCTAAAAATTATTTTATATATAATGAGCTCAAATTTCCCTAAGGGTTGAGAAAAATTAGACAAAAATTCTTTGTCCAGAAAAAATCAAATGGCATTTGACTGGCTCTGCTATGCTTTGAATTGTTCTTTAGTTTTAGTAAAGAGTTTTACGGCACTTGCTACACAATAAGGTCATATAAAAGCGATAGATAAGAGGCGTTACAAGAAATTAAGAAACCTAAGAAAAAGAGGAGAGGTAAGGACAGTAGATATTTGATGGGGAAGAAGGAGCAAACCACATCAGACAACCTGCCAACCACTAAATACCTCTGTATTTACTTCAGTGATTTTATATATAACATACTCTAAAATTGGTTGCTTTTAAGGACAAGCGGGCTAGCCTGAAAAATGCTGTTTTGAGAAAATTGAAGGTAAAGTTTTTGCCCCTTGTTCACTTTCTTTAAAAGACAAGGAGAGTTTTTTCTATTACCAAACAAATATACACACCAATGAAACCAAACTACTCCTGTAGGTAGGGCAATATCCATTTCGCTGTAGGTCAAGATTTCTGGAAACTCCAAAATCTGGGTTAGCCCGTTTGTCCTTAAAAGCGACCAATTTCACAACAGGCTACGAAAAATTAGACAAAAATGTTCATTGTCCGTAAAAATCATACAGCATTCAAATAGCTTTGAAACACCCGAATAGCTGTGAAAAGTGGAAAAATTGTGAACGCTGAATAGTTTTACTTAAAATTTTAGTAAGAGTTCAGCGGCACTTGCAACACAATAAGGCCATAAAAGTCCCGAAGATTAGAGGTGTTACAAGAGAGTAACAAAAATAAAAAAGAAGGAGGAGAGAAAAGGACAACAGATGTTTGATAGGAAAGAAGGAGCAAACCACACCAGAGCAACCACGTTGAATAGTTGAATAGTTAGGTGGAATGGGCACAGCTCTGGAACACACTCAGCTGGTGTTATGCCCACCATGTATCTGTGTACCCACCACATATCTTGTGTACCCACCTCCTGTCTGTACAAGTTTGCCTGGTCCAGTGTGTCCAGGATAAGCGTATCTCCCAGCAACATGCCGTAAACTGGATGGGGTGGGTGGGGAGAAAAAAGGAGTGGTGGCGTGAGGGTGAGTAACATTATGGCGTGAATAACGTAATTTCCTGGACAGGTTATAGAACTGGACGACAGAACATAAACATAGATTAATGCACACGCACACACACATATGTACACATAAACACACTCACTAACACACACACACACACACTATACACTCACAAAACAAACATGAGGCCCTACCCCTCTACTAATTTTTAAGTTGGTAAACACACACACAAACACACTCACAAAACAAATACAAAATACTCACAAACACAGTTTACATACCCCACAAACATACATATAAATCACTCACCCACTCAATA